CTATTCCTCCTTGCGCGACAACAAAGCCACTCGACACAAAAAGCAGTTTGTGTCCGTGCCCGCGCGCGGCTACTGCGCCCGACTCCATCCATCGACACACGCACCACACTCGATCGAAGAAGAATGGCCACTACGACTGCTACTGCTACCGCCACTACGACTGCCACAGCGGACATGCCGCCGAACCACACGCTGTACGTGAACAACCTGAACGACAAGATCAAGGCCGACCGCAAGAAGGCCACGCTCTACGCGACGCTGTCGCAGCACGGCAAGATCCTCGAGATCGTCATGGGCCGCGCACGGCGGCTACGGGGCCAAGCGTGGGTCACGTTCGACGACATTGCGAGCGCGTCCAATGCACTACGTGCGACGAACGGGGCGATGCTCTTTGAGAAGCCCGCGGTGATCGCCTTTGCCAAGGACAAGGCCGACGTCATTGCCCGGCGCGAGGGCACGTTCGTCCCGCGCGAGAAGCGGCCGCGCGAAGCCCCAGCGGCGCAAGCGCCGGTCGCGAAGAAGCCGACGGACGCCAAAGCGGTGGCAACAGGAGCGGGGGCAAGCGCTGCTGGTGCAACTGCAGCGGGTGGGAGCGGCTCGTCGTCGGTGCTGCTGCCGCCGCCACCGCCGTCGCAGAACGTCCCGAACAAGATTTTGTTTCTACAGGAGCTGCTCGAGGTGTGCACGCAGGAGATGCTGAGCGTGCTGTTTAAACAGTACCAGGGCTTTACGGTACGGCTGGTCGTGTGCGAGATGTGTCGAGGACGTGACTGACTGGAAGACTGATGTGGCTACATGCTGGTGTATGGTGGCGCTTTGGTGCTAATGGCGGGTCTGTTGCTACTCTTTTTTGTCATTGCGTGGTGCAGGAGGTGCGTATGGTACCAGGCAAAAAGGGACTGGCGTTCGTCGAGTTTGGCGACGAGGCGCAGGCGGCCATTGCGCTGCAAGGACTGTTCGGCTTCAAGCTCACGCCCACAGATACACTCAGGGTCTCGTTTGCCAAGAGATAGACTGGCATGGAATATGGAGAGAGAGGGTTTGCAGGGGTTAACTCAAGACACACCCGTGCACGTCGTCGTTCATCCAGCGTGTTGGCTTTGCTGTTCTCGTTGACAGTAAGGTCCTTTGTGCGACGGACAAGTAGGGAAGAATACAGCACTTACGCACACGCACACTCATACTCACGCAAACAAGCCACTGACTGCTGGAAGAACGCCGCTGGATTCGGCGCTCGCATGTAGGTAGGTAAGTATGTCTGTAGTATGAATTGAGGTCTGCATGTAGGTAGCTTTTTCGTGTGCAGGTACTTCCGTCTGTAGGTTGTCGGTTGGTGACGATATGTGCACACATGCAGGTAACGATATATCTTTTGGCAGACGTACATAGGAATGCATCAAGGTTTGACGATATGTGTGTAGGTATGCATGTCTTTGCGTAGGTGAGTAGCTACGAGCGTAGCTATGTATGCTAGTAGGTTTGCTAGCAGCCATGCTCGTAAACGAGTCTGACCTACGTGGGTCATACGCATGTCTCCCTGACTGCGCGAAAACACCCCAGCCCTAAATCATCTAGTCGTCAATCTCTCACCACCCCCCTCCAATCCCGTCCTGCACATATAAACAATCATCCAAGCATCCATCCACCCCTAGCATCATCCACTTCAAGCATCCACCCAACCACCATCCACCCACTCCCGTATACACACACACAAGATGCCACCCACCCACTCACCCGTCCGCCAGTCCGCCACTCCCTTCCAGTGTATCTATCTATCTATCTATCTATCTATCGATCTATCTATCTATCTATCGATCGATCTATCTATCTATCTATCTATCTATCTATCTATCTATCTATCTATCTATCTATCTATCTATCTATCTATCTATCTATCTATCTATCTATCTATCTATCTATCTATCTATCTACCCACCCACTCACTCCGTCCAGCGTCCAGCGAGCATGGCCGCCCCCGCCCTCGAAGCGCGCGCGATGGCGCTAGCCACCAACTCGCCCGAGCAGCTCGCGGCGCACCTCCGCGTCACGCAGGGCCGCGTGCGCACGCGCTTCCCGCCCGAGCCGAACGGCTATCTCCACGTCGGCCACGCCAAGTCCATGCACATGAACTTCTCGGAAGCCTTTGAGAAGCTCTGCGTGCCGCCCGCGCAGCGCGAGACCATCTTCCGCTACGATGACACGAACCCCGAGGCCGAGAGCTGCGAGTTCGTCGACGCCATCGCCGCCAACGTGCGCTGGTTGGGCTACGCGCCCACGCGCGTCACGTACAGCAGTCAGTACTTTGATACGCTCTACGACTTGGCGCAGCAGCTCATCCGCAAGGGCAAAGCCTACGTGTGCCACCAGAGCAAAGCCGAGATCGAAGCCTCGCGGCTCGTGCTGCAGCAAGTCCACGCGGCGTCGGGCGCTTCCCCCAAGACCGAGCAGGACGTCCCGGACGCGGGCAAGTCGCCGTTCCGCGCGCGGTCCGTGGCCGAGAACGTGGCGGCCTTTGAGCTCATGCGGCGCGGCGGCTACGACGAAGGCGAAGCGTGTCTGCGCATGAAGATGGACCTCGGGAGCCCGAACCCCAACATGTGGGACCACGTGGCCTACCGCATCAAGTTTGTCCCGCACCCGCACGTGGGCAACGCGTGGTGCATTTACCCCACGTACGACTACACGCACTGCATTGTCGACGCGCTCGAGCACATTGACTACTCGATCTGCACGCTCGAGTTTGAAACGCGGCGCGAGTCGTACTACTGGCTGCTCCATGCGCTCGACCTGTTCAAGCCCAACGTGTACGAGTTTGCGCGCCTCGCCATGACGTACACGGTGCTGAGCAAGCGCAAGCTGCGCCAGCTCGTCCTGTCCAAGGCCGTGCGTGGCTGGGACGACCCGCGCATGGGCACGCTCGACGGGCTGCGTCGTCGCGGCTTCACGCCCGAGATCATTAAGCAGTTTTGCAAGGAGATTGGCGTGACGCGCGTCCAGTCGACGATCCAGATCGAGCGGCTGCACTCGGTGGCCCGGAACGTCCTCGGAGACTCGTCGAAGCGCGTGATGGCCGTGCTGGACCCTGTCGAGCTGGTCATTGAGAACTACAGCGAAGCACCTGATGAGAGCGCGCTGTGTTTGCGCGTACCGGACTACCCACAGGACGTGGACCGCGACGGTGGGAAAGCGTACCATAACGTGCAGTTGACTCGCACCGTTTTGCTGGACCGCAGCGACGTGCGCACGGAAGACGCGGACGACTTTTTCGGCGTCGCACCAAACAAACAGGTGCGGCTGAAGTACGCGTTCCCACTCACGTGCACAAAGCTCGAGACCGATGCGAGTGGACGCGTGACAAAGGTGCTTGCTCAGATGGACTGGACACATGCAGCAAAGCCCAAGGGCGTGCTCTCGTGGGTGCCAGCGAATAGTCCCGAGGTGGAAGTGCGTGTGTACTCCCATCTGTTCACAGTCCCAGAGCTCCCGAGCGATGTGGACGACTGGGAGTCGTTTGTGGACTCGAAGAACTCGGAGCGCGTGTTTCCTGCCGCGCGCATCGACCCCGAGTCCCACGCCAGGAACTTGGACAGCATTGTGCAGTTTGAGCGCATTGGCTACTTCGTGCCGGACAAGGACTCGACCACCGAGAAGCTCGTGTTCAACCAGGTTGTAGCGCTCCGCGAGAGCGGCGGTGAGGCGGCCGGTAGTGCAGGCGCATCCAGTGCGAATGCCAGCCGCAAGGACGCGCAGATGCAGCAGCTGGCGCTCAAGATGGAGAAGATGAAGCTGTCGCCGGCCGATATGTTCAAGAAGCAGCCAGAGCTGTACGCGCAATTCGACGCCGAGGGGTTACCGACGCACAATGCTGCAGGCGCTGAGTTGACCAAGAGCCAGCGCAAGAAGCTCAAGAAGGAGCAGGAGAAGCAGAAGAAGCTGCACGACGCCTACTTGGCCACGCAAAAGACCTCGTCGTCGATTAGTGCGACGTGAGCCGTAGCTAAGCGAAGTAGGGGAGGACGTATGATACCGTTACTTTAGCACGCCGTCTTCTTTAATGCCGTCGGTGGATCGACGACTGCAAGTGCAGTATATCTATCGTACAGGATCCGCGTCTTTCGTGGCGTCTGCTAGTCACAGTCCCGTCTACAAAAACAGTGTAGTACAGCCTGTTATGCCGCATCGTCCTGTAGCACGCAGCCTAGGGGATACAAAGTACAGGACAGCAAGGGTACGGTGCAGTATAGCAGGAGGAGAGGACGTGACGGACCTCCTCAAAGCCAGCGGCCAACATGGTGGCTGCCCAAGCGCCACACGCCCTGGCGCCCGGCCGCGTCCTGTCCGCGCACGCGGCCGCCACGAGCAGCTCCAAAGCGGCCGCCGCTCGTACCGAACGCACGCTGCTGCTCGCCGCGGCCGACAGAGAGGAAGCGATCCACCCGCTGCCGTGGTTCCTCAGCCCCGAGTGGCCCAAGCGGCCGCTGCCGACGACGGCTCTGGACGCCCGTTCGCAGGCCGTTCCGGCGGCGCACCCGACGCGCTCTGCGTGTCTGCTGGTGCTCCTGTGCGGCTCGTCGGCGGCGTCGTCGTCGTCGTGCTTCGACGCCGGGTCCGAGTCGGAGCTCGAGCTCGGGCACCTGTTGAAGCGACCTGCGACGTCGCGCGACGTCGACGACGAAGCGGACAGCTCGAAGAAGTGCCTCCAGTTTCTAGTGGGACTCCTTGTGACGATGGCCCTTGCGCTCGTGCTGCTGCTCGTGTTGCAGCCACGAGCGGGCGGGGCGCGATGAGCGAGAGGGCGGACGAGAGCAACGACAGGATAGGCAGCAGAAGAGACACGAGAAGAAGCAGCAGCAGCAGCAGCAGCAGAAGAAGAAGAGGAAGCGGACGAAGAAGCAGTAAATGGTGCCGACGAGACAGTGAAATTCTCGCGGCGCCAAGACACCAAAATGTATAGTACTTGGTCCATGAGTGAGCTACTACGTGCCCGTGCCCCCCTCGCAGGTAGCAGCTACACTGAGACTGGAGAAGAAAGTCACACTGAACGCGTCCAACTTTTGCAGTCGTTGACGAAAACGTACAGCCGCCTTGGATTCTGTCTGTCTCGTTCGACAAGTGCTTCGAGTAGAATACGTGTCGATTGAGACCACTTCGGAGTTGCCATCACCACAAGTCCGTGCCGCAGACTTGTTCCATTCTTGAGACGACTGGTTGGAAGTTATGGGTACGCTATCGAGCACAGTTTCGGACTTGTACCGATAATTGTACAATTTGCTGCTAATGTTTGGGCAAAAAGTGCAACGACTATAATATAGCACCGCTTTGGTTGTGAGGGGGCGTTTCGCGATAGTCATTCGTGGTTTTTTGTGAAATAAAAGTATATAAATAAACGAGGGAGCCGTTATAGGCACTACACCCTTCTGTTGTTATATGTACCTCAGCCCATCTTCCGCAGTAAAAAAGGGGTGATTATTGATCTTTCAAAAACATATATTCAGATCTCTCGATTGTGACCATAACCTCATCTGCGAGTTGTCTTTAGCATTACGATGGGCGGAAATCTACGAGATATGGACAAGACGCCCGAGGTCATCAACGGCTCAAACGATGAGAACGTCATCTTTTCCGCAATAAGTACGCATACGTATCGTGATACGTATTTGTATTCAGCCTCGAACGTTTCACGCAGTCGAGATACAGACGTAACGGACTAAAAAGCTGTGAGGGAATAGAAGACCGACGCGACAGTGCGTTTTCTTGCAGTATACAGATGTACAACATTGCGGATGAAACTGATAGAGTAATTATGGATATTCTGAATGGGCTCATGACAAGACAAGTGTCAAACGTTTGACAGGAATCAGATGCCCAAGATGACGCTGTAACGGGGTTACACGTCGACTGGTAGTCGACAATAGGTGTGGTACACACAAGGGATGGGATCCTATTTAAAGTAATATTAGAACACAAGTATCAATTGTTGAAGACTGATGTCTGTCAACCATTGATTACAAGATCTTTTAATAGGTTTATTTAGGACATAAGTGAGTAGGTTATTTACTTTGTTCTAAGGTGTTCTTTTAGGTTAAAAGAAGAAATAAAATTCAGTTCCCATTTTGATCAACAAAAGACGCGTGCCTCTCTGAGGCGTCTTGCGATAGTAAAGAAGTAGCAACGCCTTGCTAAGGCAGCTACTCCTTGTGCATTCAGTGCGTTTGATTCTTTGAATCGTTTGGTCCCCCTGGAACAGGGACCGTAAGCTCTCTGAGCTTGTTGACTCTTTCAGTCGGGTTCTTTGAACCAAACCGTAAGCTCTCTGAGCTTGTTGACTCTTTGAGTAGGGTTCTTTGAACCAAACCTTAGCTCTCGGATCTGCTGACTCTTTGAGTCGGGTTCGCAGAACCAAAGTTGCTCATTGAGCGTCAAGTCTTCCTCTGACTTAAGGAGCTGTGTAGCTCCGCTACACTTGGTAGCACTCGCAGTCTGTAGCGGAGCTACACAGCTCCTTAAGTCAGAGGAAGACTTAACGCTCTCACGAGCACTTTGGTTCAAAGAACCCGACTCAGAGAGTCAATAGCTCAGAGAGCTAACGGTCCCCCGTTCCAGAGGGACCAAACGATTCAAACGAATCAAACGCACTGAATGCACAAGGAGTAGCTGCCTTAACAGGCGTTGATTTTGTCCTCCCGATTAAAGACGCCTCGTAAGGCACGTGTCTCTTATTGATCAAAAGAGGAACTGAATTTTATTTCTTCTTTAAACCTAAAGAACACCATAGAACAACGTACTTAACCTAGTCACTAAGGTTCGAAGTAAAACCTCTCTAAAGATCTCGTAATCAATTGTTGAGAGACATCAGTCTTCAACAATTGATACACTTACTGTGTTCTACTATCACTTTTAGGGTACCCCCTCTCTTGTGTGCACCACACCTATCGTCGACTACCAGTCGACGTGTAACCCCGTTACACCCTCCCCCACCAGACTGACGTTACCACAAAACGTCAATCGGTTTCTTTCCTCGAAGAGGTCGGTGCGTGTGCGCTTAACCTCACGGTGGCAAAACACGAAACACCATCGCATCGCCACCCAACGAGTCTCGGACTCTTTCCTCCTACCTCGGTCTTAATGAGGATGTGGACTATGGTAGTGATACCAGTGTCCCTGGAGATGAAGGGATATCGTCCCACTCCGCTGTATCTGAGGCTCGACCTCAAACAGCACCGAATCCGTTCGTTAGACGTGGTGTTACCACAGCGCCAGGGGCGCAGCATCATACAACAGATGCAGATGAGAACATTATCACAAACCCGCTTGACGAGCAACAGGAGTTAACCCTCCAGCGTGAGGAGCGTGCTCTACGTCGCACTCATACCCAGACGTATATTCAAAACCGGAGTGGTTACGTGTTTACAACACCTGACGTGGAGCAACGCCTCCGTCAAACGGAAGGCCGTAGCCTTTCAACATGTGCCATGGGCCCCGAGGCTACGTCGCCCGAAGATATAGCCGTTCGTCAGGCTCTAAATGAGAGGTATCTCGAACCATTCTTTACCACGCAAGGTCAGTACCGCGCGCATCTTGAGAGCTTGTCTCGTGGTGTCTCGGTTCGACCGATTAAGGGCGTGCCCATCTTGTTGTTCGCTGGCGAACTGCCCGAGGAGGAGGACAATCAATTCATCCGTTGGGTGTATCGCAAGCGACACCTTAGCAGTGTGCCAGCGCTGCGGGCCAGCGCCGATGTGGCCGACGTTCGGTTGGAACGAAAGCTTCGGTTCGAGTATGCCGAACTCAAGGCCAGGGGCCAGTTGCGTACACGTACGCGTTATGCTCCGGCTACAATGGCAATCACGGGTCACGACCCTAAGGTGCGGAGCAACACGCTACCTCCCACCACTATTGGTGAGAAGCGTTCTCGTTCGCAAGGCGACCCTGGTCACGATGTTCAAAAACATCCACGGCGTAAGGGCAGTCCTGCCGAAGGGGTATCTCAAACTCCCACGAGTTCTCCGACTCCGGTTACCCTCGCCACTTCACCAGATACTGGTATTGGCCACGACGACGACGTCGCTGAAGGATTTTCTCCACATGGAATTGGTGGTTCCCTTGCTAATCGAGCAGCGTCGGTGGTGGTCGGGGTACCGAAGGAGGAGCATGAGAAGGTGCTCCGTGAGCTGAGTGGTCTCCGAGAGAGATTGGGTAAGACCCAGAATGAACTCGGCGCGATGCAAGCCCGTGTTCACGCGTTGGAGTTGGCCTTAGCCCGTGTGGATGGTCAGCTTGACATCCTAGTATGGATGCAACAGTCGACGTCAAAGCCTTATTTCCAGGCGCAAGCGCCTCCGAGTTCACATGGGACGGGTCCCGATACGGCTTAAGCAAGCCAACGTAGAACACTGGGTGCGTGCGCAGTTTGCGCGGAAGGTTGAGCGTGTACGCTCATCCCTTCTTAGCGATGACCGTGAACGGCCCAATGAAGCGCGGACGCAACTTTGTCTTGAAGACAGCAGACACTACATTCGTAGGTAGGTTTTTAGCATTGAGTAGAACTTGGTCTACGACCTTATAACGTTCAATACATCATCTGCCTTTAGCATCAGCTTGCTTCTTTTGTCTATCTTGGCTATCAGCCAGTGCATCACGCACGTGTCGTAAGACATTCAATCGCGTTGCGAGAAACTCGCTTACCTTTTTGTGAACAGTAGCAGGGCTGAAATCTGCAAGCCGATCGGCAACTCCTCCCCCACCAAGCCCTGAACCACGCAGTGGTAGCGTTAACGGAACGCAAGGGTGTGTGAGACCGTTCACGTAGAACGGAGTAAAGCCTGTAGAGGCGTGAACAGCGTTATTTAAGGCAAACTCAACAACAGGAAGCATTGAACTTCAACGTTTTGGTGTATTAGCGCAAACACTGCGTAATATATCAATGATAACGCGATTGACTCGCTCAGTTTGACCATCGGTCTGGGGGTGATCTGCCGTGGACATGTCCAAACGTGTGCCGAGCACCTTGAAGATGGACCTATAAAACTTCCCAGTGAAGCGAGGATCTCTGTCAGAGACTATTGCCACAGGCAAGCCGTGTTGTCGAAACACGCGATCGATAAACAGCGTAGCTGTACCTTCACCAGCAATGGTATCTGGCACAGCCGCCAAGTGAGCTATCTTGCTCAAACGGTCAACAAAGACCACAATACCCGTATTTCCATACGAACCCTTCGTTAATCCGAACAGTAAGTCCATACTGATGGACTCCCAACACCCTTTGGGTATAGGCAAACTAGACAGCGGCGCCGCCGCGTGAGGTAAGGGTTTCACCCGTTGACACGTTTCACACGTACGCACATATGTGCTCACCCATTTGTATAGTTTGGGCCACCAATAGCATTGGCTAAGTGAGCCGTAGGTCTTCTCACGACCGAGATGACCACTCACCGCAGTATCTATGTGCTCACCAATTTGTATAGGGTAAGCCACCAATAGCATTGGCTAACTGAGCCGTAGGTCTTCTTACGACCGAGATGACCACTCACCGCAGTATCATGTGCCTCATAGAGGATCCGATACTTCAACTCCTCATCATGAGGAACAACGATGCGAGGGGTATCCTCCACATCCGTGCTATAGCATAGCAGGCCTTGATCGATGGAATATCGATGTAGCCTCGCACGTAATCGTGTCGACAATTCTATGTCCGAGTCCTTAAACTCCTCGATCCCTAGAGCACGTAGCAAAGCTACACAATGTTCATCTTTGGCAGATGCCGAATGAATGAGGTCTGTGACCGATG